CACACCCAGCTAATTTTTGACTTATTGTAGAGATGAGGTCTCGCCAAGTTGCCCAGGTGGGTCTCGAACCCACAGGCTGAGGCAATCCACCCACCTCAGCCTCCCAAAGGCGCGGGATTACAGGTTGAGCCACCGAGCCCGGCTAAAAAAATATATATATATATATTAAAAAAAAAGAAACATTTAAAAAAAAAAATCTTTTTGATGGGTAATATCAAAACTGACTGTGACAGATCCTTCTTGTCAAGAGGGCAAATTCACTTATGTAAAAAACAATCACTTAAGTAACCAAATTCCAGGTCAGAAGAAGGATTTTGGCTAGTTTTTCCAGTTTGTTGAATTGCAATATTAAACTTGTTTCTTTTTCTTTTTTATTTTTATTTTATTTTATTATTTTTTTTTTTTGAGTTGGAGTCTCACTCAGTCGCCCAGACTGGAGTGCAGTGGCCGCTCCCGGCCACCGCAGCCTCGAGCTGCTGGGCTCTGGTGATCCTTCCACCTCAGCCCTCCAAGTAGCTGAAACTACAGGCGCATGCTACCACGCCTGGCTAATTTTTGATTTATTGTAGAGATGAGGTCTCGCCAAGTTGCCCAGGCGGGTCTCAAACCCGCCGGCTCAGGCAATCCACTCACCTCAGCCTCCCAAAGTGCTGGGATTACAGGCTGAGCCACCAAGCCCGGCTTCTTTTTCTTTTTTAAATTGGAGTCTCACTCTGTCACCCAGACCGGGGTACAGTGGCACGCTTTTGGCCACCGCAGCCTTGACCTGCTGGGCTCAGGCGATCCTTCTGCCTTAGCCTTCCAAGTAGCTGGAACTACAGGTGTGTGCCAATATGCCCAGTTAATTTTTTAATTTATTGTAGAGATGAGGTCTCGCCAAATTATCTAGGCTGGTCTCGAACCTGTGGGCTCAGGCAATCCTCTTACCTTGGCCACCCAAAGTGCTAGGATTATAGGCATGAGCCATTGCACCTGATCAAAACTTGTTTCTTTTACCTTTTCCTGTTAGTTTTTCACCTTCTCCCTATGAGGTCTTCAAATGAAGTGGTAATGTACTGAAATTTTTTGAACTCATTAATAAACACATATGAAACTCTGCCTAGTTCCCAGTCTTTCCGTGGCTCCTGTCTCTACAATCCATTCCTCAAACTCCAGGACCAGGACTCTGGCCAGTCGCCAAGGATAGAGCCTCAAATCACTGTGGCTTCTGTTTTCCAGCTGTGTTAGTTGGTTTTTGCCCATGTTCTATAAGCCTGTGTCTTGGCCTTAGTAGCTTCACTGATTCTTCGTTATTGTGCCCCCAGGAAATAGCTCTGCTCTTGGGGGCACTCCCCTAGGCATGGAGTCTTCCTTACCCTTGCCTCTGTGCTTGGGCCTATTACTTCCTGACATACTTCCCTGCCACCAACTCCCTAGGTTCCCATCCCTTGGCCTCAGTCATCTTTTGGGACATTCCAGTATCTCCCAGGGATGATGCATGCTGATTTGCCTGTTTCTAGAAATATTGATTTTTCCCTTTGGACAATGTTTTGTTCATTCAACATGTAACTTATTAAAGTCCTGAAAGGGAATCTACCACTCTACCATCTGGATTCTCAGAAATCTGTCATCAAGGTGGACAAATGGACCCCTCAGCCTCAAACATAGACCTCAGGTACTCATTTTACTGGTGGTGTTACTACTGCCACTACTCCCTGGTTCCAGGTGGGGTACACTGGGTCTCCTCTTCTATTCTGCCCTATAGGCAAACTCAGAAATGTCATAATATTCCTTACCCGGTTGAGACCAGATGGGAGCTTCCAAATAACATCTTTCCAAATAACATCTTTCTCAGGAGCTTCCAAATAATATCTTTCTCAGGATGGGATATCTTGGCCTGTGGCCTCTCCAGTTAGCCTCTGAGTCCAGTTCCCAGCCTGCTGTGGTGTGGCGGAGTCCACTCTTCTCCCACCCCCAAGGAAAGCCTACAAGTGCCATAAGCATACCTCTACTCAACCACATCTAGAGCCCCAGAAGTAAGGCCCAGGGACACATGAATTTTCACTCCTGCCAAGCTCAACTTTCAAACATCTCCCCAAACAGTCATGTGGGTAAAATACTTGGTAATAGCCGGGCTCGGTGGCTCAGTCTGTAATCCCGTGCCTTTGGGAGGCCAAGGTGAGTAACCTTGAAACCTGAGCCCACAGTTTCAAGACCCGCCTGGGCAGGCGAGACCTCATCTCTACAATAAATCAAAAAATTAGCTGGGTGTGATAGCGCACGCCTGTAGTTCCAGCTACTTGGAAGGCTGAGGCAGAAGGATCGCCGGAGCCCAGTAGGTCGAGGCTGCAGTGGCCAGGAGCGGCCACTGCACTCCAGTTTGGGCGACAGAGTGAGACTCCAACTCAAAAAAAAAAAACAAAAAAAAAAACTTGGTAATAATCATCCAAGGCTAGAATGGAATTATATTTTACATATAAATGCAACATATTATTTGCATGATTTTAAATACATGAATACATTCCCAAATACAACCACTGTGATAATTTGTGAGAAAATTGTACTTAAGCTGA